TATCCATGTCATGAAACAACGTAAACAATCAAGGCATATTTTTAAATCTTGCGGGTTATCGACAAGACTAGGGGGAAGGACTGAATTTAAGTTTTTAAGCAATTCTGATGTTATATCCTGGCAGTTTCCAGGCTCCCATTTCCTCTTCATGGAACTGTCTGTGGAACGATCTAAAAAACCCATTAAATGTTCAACCAGAATTTTATTACTCCTGCAATAACATCCACTTCCGATAGTACACAGAATAATGATTTTCTTAATTTTTATAAGGTAAAGGTCTATGCAAAAAATACAGGACATTAAAACGACATACACTGTAGGCAGACAGCAGTTTCTGTGCAACTGCTTCTCTAGATTAATCTAGATTTAAACTCATCTATATAAGAGATTAGATTATAAAGTTGATTATTTTTGTTTATCACAGGCCAAATTTTGTCATTCTAGTTTTAGTTCAGGATTATATAAAACTTACTGCTTTGGTTTTTTTCATTTAGGCTTAAGTTCCTTCAGCTTTTTTAAAAGTGGCAACTTCCATAGAAAAACAACATTAGGTCAAATTGTTGATTTCTATCAACCAAACAAAAATATGTGGTAACGAATGCTTAATTGTTTGATGTCTATGTGCATGGTTTATTAGGTAATTATTAGCTTTAATAATAACCAAAGTATTCGATCCTATAATAGGATTCACACTTTCCACACCAAACTTTTTAGACTAAAGAGGGCAGTATTCAAAGTAAACATTCTGAAATTCACACCCAACCTTACAGTTTCATAAATTCGCTATTAAGTGAGGAATTCCGTCTCTAATGATCGACAGATTACTAGCCCTAAAACTAACGTCATCCAGGGAAGGGTTGCGCTATGAATAACACACTAATAAAAGATGAAAATACGAAGGGACATGGCCTGTTGAGCAATTTAATGTAGTCTGGAAAAAGAAGAGGTCTTAGGCTAAATATAGGATATTTCATAATGAGCTTGGCATTATATTCCTATGTTGTCTACTGCGTTAATAATGTTTTTAATTCCAAAGATTTGTCATGTAATGGAGGCTCACTTTTCCCGGGGAATCTGAACAAAAGGTCGTTAAACTTGTGTCCCAGGATGCCTGAGCAAATGGAGATACTACACAACATCCTGTCACCTCTCGCAAATTTAGGCCAAAAACATAAACAAATGTCAAAACCTCCAACTATCCTGAAGTACTAAGAACTGCCCACACCCTGAAACAACATCTGATAATAAATTGCACAATTAGATAATAAATAAATAGATAATAGCCACAATGAATATTATAGTTTTATACATATATATATTTAAATATATGTATATATATATAACATAAATCAAGGTAGCCGTTAACACTGTTAAATCATATATAAATCATCAAAGAAAGGACTACATTCGTTGAGAGCTATGCTACACGATGTATTTATTCAGTCCTTTATTCGAACACTGTATTTACCTTTCTTTGATGATTTATATATATATATATAAGGA